GCCAAGGCAAAGTTCAAGGAACTGGAGATAGTCGGGATTCTACCGCATCCACTCTACAGTTCGGACGTTGCTCCATTTGATTACGGCCTTTTCCGATCACCACGACACTTTTTGGAAGGTCGCCGATTTGAATCTTTCAATGAAGTTGAAGAAGCATGTCAAGAGCTCTTTGATTCAAAGCCACATCGTCTATATACCGGCAGTAGGGCAATGGGCGGTGAACAAGAACTGGACCATCCACCTTATACATAGAAGCATTGGCAAGACTAGGTGCTAAACGTTGACCCATGATTAAGCCCCTGATCTGCACTAACGAAAAAGAGGGGGATTGTATGAGATCGGGCACAATTTATTTGCTAACATGTGAGAAATGCGGGGAAGAATATATAGGCGAAACGGGTAGAACACTTTTCATCCGCATAAAAGAACATCTAGATAGTAAATCTAAAATAGATAAAACGAAACCTTTAGGATCACATAGGGCACAAATACACAACTACAACGATTTTGATGTGACTGTCACATTCCTGGCGCAGGAATCAAAAACATCCACGCGCAAAACTCTTGAATTATTTTGGATAAACGCCGAAAATTTCGAAGAGAACGGAAGGACGAATGCGCGCCTTTTCTTAGTTTGATCTTTAAACCTGACCTAGGCAGCATATAAACAAAATCCTCCAAATCCTTCAAAAGAAGATTAATACTCCGTAGGCCCAGGCTTTGAAGAAGGCGGGTCGCTGAAGTGTCAGCCGAATCACTACGACTAATTTACCAAACTCGGTTCAGCTGATCAAGATAGTTTTTCTCGATTTTCATATATCAACTAATTATGCTAAGGTTCATAGAAAGTCGAGCTTTTGAATTGTATGAGGTTGGTAAAAAAAGTCGCGATTCCAGCAAGACTTGAAACTGCAATTACTTTTATAATCTGATGCAAATGACGAGAATAGTAGAATGGTCGACGTTAAGTTCTTCTGCAACAGTCCTCGCATAATCCAGGAGGATCAATTATAATGATTGCTTTTTCCATAAGCTTTGGTGGGGTGAGTGCAAAAGCAATTGCGGTTCATGCATCAATGAAGTGCATCTCTTTCGTAGAACCTTTGGTTCAGCGCTACACACTGCCCGTTCTTTAGCAGTTTTTAGGCCAAATGCCTTTTCTTATGTTGCCACTTGTCTCTGCTTCTTCACGACCCGACTTGAACCCACATTGAAAAAGCGCAATTACTTTTGCACTTACCAACATTCTTCGCGTAGTCTATAATAAATATAAAATAAACAGCAAATAATATGTCACTGGCGGCAAAAATATAAAGTAAAAAATACCATTGAATATATCTCTCACACAACAATATTTATGAGAAAATTTTTAGTTCATTATCAAACTACGCATTTCAACAGTGCATAAGCGCAATTACTTTTTCACCAGCTTAAGCGAACCAGCACAACAGTTTATCGAGCGGATCTCAGCACTTCGTTTTCCTCACATTCAAGCTTGACAATGATTTGCCCAGTACCTCACGTGTTGCTTTGGTTGCTGCTTCAGGATTTCGTGTTTTTTAGGGATGTCGCAAAATTCTGGTCGGGACACCTGACCTTGTAAACTTGGAGAAATCCTAGCAAAATGTCCCTATTCATTCGTTTGATCGAATACAAGAGAGTGCCTGGTGGGAGGACCGAACCCAGGCCTCGTCGATCACCGTGCTTCCTGATAGAACGCATCACTAACGGCTGCGCTATCAATGTAGTACGTAATCACGGACGACGTGCAATAACAAATAATATTTGAACATTTCTCCTTGTTACTGTCATCGTCTTCTCTAGTGACTATCTAAATTCTCGGCTTAAATTTACACTTATTTTTGCTTATTCTTATTTAGCCTATTCTTTATTTATTTTCTTTATTATTCTCGACTTGAAGGTTTTGTTACTCTGAGGCAAATCCCCATTGCTGACTTATTGTCGCTTATTTTCCTAGGAAATGTCCTATATAAGAGAGTTATCGACATTGCAAGTGAACTCGTCGGTTGTGGAAGGAACAGCGGGTAGTAGGGTGTGGGCGGTGAGCTGGAATCATAACGGATCGCTTCTGGCCAGTTGTGGAGACGACAAAACCGTTCGAATATGGAAGAGAATCGCAGGTAAGAGACGACTGCTTTGCTCTCGTCGCAATGGCGCAGTGGCAGGTCAATCGAGTTCGTTGAAGGTCGACCATATTTGGAGTGCTCGACGACGATCGACGACAGCCATTCGAGAGCCGTCCGATGCGTTCAATTCTCCCATTGTGGTCGGTACTTGGCATCGGCAAGCTTTGACGCCTCTGTCGTCATCTACAGTCGTGACGAGTTAGTTATCTTTTCTCCTCTTCTCTTAGAAGAATTCTTTGCTCTTCTGATTATGAGGGGACAAATGAAAGACCGATCTCATTCACTTGAGAGGAACTTTTCATAGCGATGTTAGTAAGCGTTCGAAAGCTGAGACGTCGGGCTACAACCCTACGTTCGCCTCCTTTTCAGAAAAGCCTTTTCTTGGCGTTGCTACAAGAGGAGATTTCTTGTGTCGAAGACGCGCATATTTCTCGCGGACAGAGCTCTTTCTTCGGACTATTGATAATCATTCGATAGCGTAGTTGTTTCTGATTCCAACGCTGTGCTTATATCCTGAAAAGACCGTTTCTTTGCAGCGCAGCAGGTGAAATAAATTGGATTTTCCATCTACGTCCAGGGTCGACTTTGGCCAACTCACGTGCGGCTGACTGATGCAGCCGATAGACCTTGCGCCGGTTACGTGGCTGCCTCACCCAGCGCACGTGAATTGGCCAAAGTCGACCTTGGCCGTAGGTGGAAATCCAATTTATTTCACCTGCTACGTGCAAAGAAACGGTGTTTTGAGGATATACGCACAGCGTTGGAATCAGAAACAACTACGCTATCGAATGATTATCAATAGTCCGAAGAAAGAGCTCTGTCCGGCGAGAAATATGCGCGTCTGAGGACATAGTTTTCTGTGCATTTTACAGCGTTATAGAAGAGTGTTTTGTAAAACGGATGACATGGGGTTGTAACCTGAATTCTTAGCTTTCGAATGGTTATCAACGCTCCTATGAAAAGTTCCTCTCCAGCGAAAGAAGTCGGTTTTTCATTTGTCCTTTTATAATCAGAAAGAACCGAATTTTTTTTTACATTCAGTAATGTTGAGTAATATGCAAAACTTTGAACCTCAGACGGGAATTGAACCCGCGTTTCACCTTCTTTGGGGGTGCGCACTAACCAGTTGCGCTGTCGACGCTCCTGTTCTGCTACCACTCTTTTTGCGATACAACACATCATCGCTCAGCAGTTAATCGTGAACGATTTGGCTTGGTAAGCACTTATCGGCATTGAACTCAGTTACGCTGGCAGATACTGGATAAATGCGATTGAAAATCACTTTGGACCTCTAGTCGAAAGTTGAACTGCCGTTTCACACTCTTTTAGCGACGCATGCTAACCGCTGCACTACGCGACTCCTTTTCTGCTGGCACTCTGCTTTCGAATTATCCTTATCATTCCAGTTCTCATCTTTACAAATATATCCAATAATGTTAAGTTAAGAGCAAAACTATGACTTTAGACGAGACTCGCACCCGCATTTACCCCTTTTCGGGTAACATCATAGCATCGTTGAGAGCGGTGAAATAAGAAAAATTCTGTGTGATCATACATATCTGTCAGCGTAAATGGGTTCAATGCTGATATGTGCTTGCTAGATCAAACCGATTATCTGATTGTATCGCAGGAAAAGTGATAGCAGAACACGAGCGAGGATAGCGCAATTGGATTAAAGACACGCCCCTCGCCACCCCCCCCCCCCCCCACCCGGAAAAGGTGGAATGCGGGTTCGAGTCCCTCGTGATATCGAAGTTTGCACATACTCAACATTACTGGATATGTTTGTAACATCATAACACCGCTAAATGTAGTTAAATTCGGAGATTTCTGTTCGATTCTCACCTTTTTTGTCTTTTTTGATTTCATGTTGTTTGCTTTCTTTTTGCGGTATACACGTCCGAGGACCTCGCACTTTCCATATTTATGTAATAAAGTGACTTTGAAAGAGGTGCAACTCCGAAAATCCTCGCAGTTTCTAAAAGTTTTGCTGTAGTTATTGTGAATTTCGGTGACAGCTAATGGTTCTTTTGAAGCTTTGTTTAAGGAAATGAAATTTATCAATCTGTTGCTCATATCTAGTGGAATCTTTTTTCTGCATAAGAAAGCATCCGGAAATGTTGAGTGATCTGCAAAACATTGGTGCTCGAGCGAGAGCTGAACCCTGCGTTTCAACCGTTCCGGGGACTCGTGCTAACCACTGCACTACGGGGCTCCTGTTCT